GTCGTAAATTTTATGGTGAACAACAAGCAACAATTCAACAATATAGAAATAAACAATAACAACTGTGGCATATGTTTTGTATATGTACACAACGAAACTCAACAGAGAATGACGATGTAAAAATGTATACAGGCTTAAAAACATCATACCTATATAGTAACTAAAACATTTTTAGAAAAACCACTGCACGCGAACAACTTTCACAGAAACTGTTCAAACGCATTTTTTTTGGCAAACTCAAAAATAGAAGCTTATGGTGATTGAATAAGAAGGAAAGACAGAAGCTAAGCTAAGACATTCATATCGATTTTTACTAACATCTAATCGTCCTCGTTATCCTGAGCCCGCATTTTCTCTGCATGGAGCCGATTTATCACACGGTATGGCTTGAGTACATCAATCTTTCGTTTTCGTAATTCCGTCTTCTTCACATTCTTCTTTCGCTTCAATAGAGCAGCTTCCTCAGGATTTGTCAATGCCAGTTCCTATTCAAAGATAGATTACAGCAGCAACTCTTAGAAGGTTAATTGAAGAACCATAACTATTTTGCACCTTAGCCTTCCGCTTTCGCTCCTCTGCCTTCAAGATAGATGCCTTTTGGCAACTGGCTAGTCGAGCAGCATACTTCTGCTCTCCAATTTTGTTTTTGAATATTTCACCAACTTCCATGGACATTGAAAACAATTCTTCAGTATCTGCAATGACGAAGAATGAAGGGTGGCGACAAGACAACAGAAGGCTTGTAAAACCGTTCGTGAGCTAAAGAATAGCACGAAAACCTCATTTTTTTGTTTCTGCATCTGTGTCTCGCACTTTCTACTTTAAAACCGCGCAACGGAATACATACAGATTTTCAAAGTCAGAATATGCTAATATATTCAAGCTAATTTAAAAAGGCAAAAGTCACAACGTGCACAGTATCGGAAGGCTTCCGATTAGTGCAAACGGGAGAGAACAGTAAACATAGACAATAAAAGATTCTAGACATTTTGCATTATTTAAGCTTCTATTTATGCAAAAAAAAGGATTAAGCTTAAGATTTCGTTCTATTGTGCTCCACTTTCAATTTATGATTTCTGCTAGTGTGACTAACAC